AATTTAAAAAAAAAAAAAAAAAAAAAATGCAGAAAATGAAAATTAAAGAAGCAGGAAGCGAAATTACATAGAAAAATTTACCTGGGCAAGCGTTGTAAGAGAGAAAGAAGAAAAAATTACAAGAAGCCTGAAATGCCATGATGTCCCACAGCTTTCTTGAGCTTCAAAATTGATTAAAATCTTCAGAATTAGAAGAAAATAAAGAGGAAGTTCAAGAAAGCTGTGGAAAAACATGGCCAGGTCCTCCCATGGAGCTGCAATTATCACAGCTTGGTGGTCTCTCTGTGTAGAGAGAAGCTCAGAGAGAGAAGGGTAGAAATAAAAGAAGAAGAAGAAGAAGAAGAAGAAGAGTAATGGCTGAGGGTCACATGCAGGCATGTGAGGAAGATCCCTTTTCATTTTAATGGGATTTTAAGGTATGGGTTGCTTACGCTGTCTGGTCCCCAACCCCCCTGGATTATCATATATATATAATAATAATAATAATAATAATAATAATAATGAGAATTTTTGGGTTGGGTTGGGTTGGGTTGGGTTGGGTTGGGAGGGAAGAAGAGTATGGGGGATGATATGACGATGATGATGATGATAGGATGTGTATGCATAGGATGTGGAAATGTATGTGTGGGCCCGGAAAGGTGGGTATTGTTGGGCCTGGGGGGTGAGTTATTTCTCTCTCAAAGTGGGCCATAGCCCACTAATAATTTAGGTAAAATAATAATAATTAAATAATGAAAATTGGGGATTCAGAGTGCTGCCTGACACGTCAACATCATTTGTATGAGTTTGATTTGAATGGGACGCCTTTTGTTTCAAATTTGCAATGTCGCATCATCCATGTTTGTACCTCCCCTAAGTTTTTATTTATGATCCCAATGCTTTCTTGCATTTCGCCCACAAAATGTAATAATATCCGTACGCCTAATAACTACACTCTTAATTCATTAATAAATAAATATAAATGAATTAGGTGTGAGAGATGGATGGAGAATGGGACAAAATAGGGCAGTAAGTGGCAAAAATACAGCTCACGTCTTTCACATCCTAAAGCCGGATAATCTGCTCTTTGTATCCATCAAAATGGGCCACGATTTTCTGACTCCCACTGCCTTCCATTTATGTGGGCCCACCTTCAAACATGGGCCTTCAAAAGCCCACTTCTTTCTCTCTCTCTCTCTCTCTTTTTTTTTCCTTTTCTATTTTTTCTCTTACCAAATTAATTCGCCGATCTCGTGACCTCGAGAAAGGGTAAAAAAGAAAAATACTTTTTATTATTTGGAAAATAATGAAATGTCGAATTTCAATGGCCGACAATTGAAATTGGAATCGTGCCGCTATGTCGGATTTTTTGTTACTTACTTTCTTTATTCTTCAACTCTATTGCCATCTTAATCATTCCTAGAAAGTATTTATTCTCTAATTTTTTATTTATTTATTTTCCTTCCTAACAAAGCCACTTTTATGCTATGTTTTGTTTTAACTGGAACAATAAATAAATAAAATAAAACATTTGAATGAGGGCCAAACTGCCAAAGCTTTCCTATCCGACCATACTTGAAAAAGAAAAGAAGGTACAAAAATGTGTGCCACTGTTTGGTTGTTTCCGAAGCCACCTTTTTCGTAGTATTCTGACAGATTTCTTTATTTTATTTTATTTTATTTTATTTTATTTTAAGAAGCCCAATTACCGTTTTAAAACCCAAGCCCATGATTACTATTCAAGGCTAAAGTCCAACACCCGGTTGATGTAGCCCAGATTCCATTTAGGCCCACATACAGAAAAATGTGTTTTTTTTTTTTAAGAATTAGTGAAAAATATTAGTAATTTTGGGTGGAGTTCCGAAATGAGTGTGACGGTGAACTTATTTAGTTGTGCGATAACATAACAGAAGTAGCGAATGTTGAGAAGCAGCAGAAACCATGGCGCCGCATCACCGCCGCAGGAAATGTCCGGCGGAATTTTGGCGTCTCAAGTAAATTCTCTCTTCGATGAGTTCTGTAAATGATTATTTGTATTTGTTTATTTGTAATGTTATGGAGTGGGGGATCGGCCCCACAAATTCCTGACTGCAAATGGCTTCACTGCACAAACTTTCCAACAAGGCCTCGTCAAGTTGCGATCACAGCGCACAGAACGAAAAGAGAAAAAAAAAAAAAAAAAAAAAAAAAAAAAAAAAAAAAAAAAAAAAAAAAAAAAAAAAAAAAAAAAA